CACGTGTCTTCAGTGTGAAATATGTTTTTACATATCAAAAAGACATAAAAACATCAGTTGCAAACTCATTCTGGACAGACATTGCCGTGCTCCTCAGTGTGACGAGGTTTACAGAAAGGAGCTATTGCAGAAATTACAGCGCTAGAAGAGAGAGATGTAGCCACAATCAGATGGCAAAAACAGGTCATTTGTAACTTTAATAAGCAGTTTCTGTGCAATGATGGGCATTAAATGCTGACTGTAATTCATCAAAATTACTACAGTTTCTCTGCAAAATAGAAAAAAAAAATCCTAAACTATTGAATATAGATGTAATAAAGTCTAAAGCAGGGGTGGGCAAGTAAGTTTGGCATTGGGCCAAAAAAAAAATTGCCACTAGATGGCGGGCCAGAACATATATACCATACATATATATATATATATATATACACACAGTGGGTACGGAAAGTATTCTTTAAACTCAAATATAACTTTGTTTAACTACCACCACGAGTGCCATCTATTATTTCCTTGTTTATCTAAAAGTGCACTTTTCCTTATTTTAAATCTAGCCAAAAAGCCATGTGTTGACTGTGAAACAAAGGATTTATCAAAGGATAATTTAAGAAATGAATTGATGAAAAATGCAACTAGAATTGCCCGTGACAGACTGTTAGTGTCTTTTGTAACTGGTAGTGAGCTGTTACTCTGTGTTAAGTCCTGTAGTAGGACAGTCATTAACAAAAAGCAGCATTTGTGTCGTGGTGTCCGGGTTTTACACTGGATAAATGAATAAAGCAGAGTAGTGACGCGTAACCTGGCAAGTATCTTCATTCACCAACACAGACCGCCTTGCTAAAACACACACATGGGAGATGCGGAATGGATAAAAATAAGTAAAAAAATAAAAGAGGACTTGAATAAGCCCATTAATGGCATTTGCTTGTTACACAATGGAGCCTAACTTATTGTAATAATTATTTGACGTAGCCTACTTTTACACTCAGAATTATTCCTTGGCATCCTCACGTACTAAACTGCATTTTTAAAAATTGTTTGCATGCTGGAGGTACGCTGTTACGTCGTGTGCAGAGTGGTGTTAACATTTAAGCTAACTGGTGAGAGAAAATGGCACTATCATAGAGTCTAAAGAGGAAAGTTGACAGCGAAAATAGGGCATACAAAGAAGAATGGAAAGACAACTGTGCGGTCATCTTACCTAGTTTTGTGAATTAAAAACCGGTGTGTCTTATCTGTAACAAAGTTGTTGCTGTTTGCAAAGAATATAATAGACTCTTTTGAATGTCTTTCAGAACTTTTCAAATTAAAAGCTCTCAATTAATCTCAAAATAAAACATTACTGCAAAAACGTTGTCTTTACAACAGTTGTACACGGAAGCAGCTCCGGGCTGATGACGTATGAGTTCAGTGCTGCGCATTCAGTGCTTTTCTCGTAAAAACCAACGTTTGTTAACAGGAGCAAAGGAAGCAAAGTTTCCTTACTTTAGCAAAGGAAAACCAGTCTCCTCTTGGC